AACCGCTTAAAACATAGACTATGAAAGGCTTTATTTCAATTCTAGAAAAATAGGTTAAATTTATGTCTAGGAGTATGGGAATGCAAAGATTACTGATAAAATGGGATGAGTTTTCTCTCCTTTTGAAATTAAAGCTTCTGGACCTTTTAATTCCGTTTCTTATCTCTGTAAGTTAGATTAGAAACCTTGGATAAAGTAGTTGAGTTTTTAATTTAAATTTGGTTGCTCTTGAAGTTTGTCTAAAGTCTCAGTTTTAGGATAATTAAGAAAACTGTAACTTAAATTACTTTAGATTGAATTAATCAAATTTTTATTAATCATTGCTGTAACTTGAAGGAACTATAAATACAAAGGAAAATAAATAAGAGTGCTTTCAGTACGATTCATTTTATTACATGATCCAGTTATTGCCCTCATCCTGATTTTTAGATTGCAGGTTTTCAGGAAAAAATTCTTTACTGCCATTGCCAAATTATGGAGATTTCAAGCCGCGGAAGATGGAGAAAAATGCGATTGTGAGTTATTATATCCTTAATGATTTCTCATCCTTTTGCACAGATTTTCTCATGGATCTCCAGACAATTCATATATCTAATCAGAAATTATCAATCTACATATGTTTATGTTTCTGCTTCTCTGAAGATATTACCACTGAGTAAATATAATTTCTGAGAACAAAATCAATGGTGAGGGAAGAGTTATTGTTGATTTCTATTTTCAGCTTGAGCAGAGTCAAATAATGTTTTTTGCTTTATGGCTTCTGTAGAACTGGAAAGCAGGCAAAGTTTCAGACGTTTAAGGCAGGCTGTGTTATCTGTTCTGCTGGGCACCAAAAAAGGGTAAAGGAAATTTATGTCCTAGAATTCTCAGACTGTTGTCCAGAGCCATACAGGAGTTTGTCACTTTTCTTCTTCCTCTCTACTTATTGTCTGTCTCTTGTAGCAGTTTTTCCATTCTCTCTGTGGTCTTGAAGTTGTGTTTGACACTAACGTGACAGGTGAGGGATTGACCTTGGTCTGCCTTGAAATGCTTTAGTACGGAGATGAGGGTTGTTTCAAAGGTTTAATTGTAGGTGACTTTTTTTTCTCACTTTTTATGATTTGTAGCATTTTGAAATTCTTAAAACAAATGAGCAGGCTTGCTTTCAAAAATACTAGCTGTTGGGTTTTTTCTGCTTGTTTTAATTTTATTTTAGGCTTCTCCTTCAGTCCAGCAGATCCTTGAGATGATTGAATTGCCCCGTAAATATTGCAGACTTTATTTCATGACTTTACGTGGATGTGAAAGAGCAAAATGTTGGTTTTGGCATGTTCCTGAGCAAGGAGATGAAAAGGTAAGGAGACTTGTTGAAGAAAGGAATGTATTATAAGTGCAAGCACTTTTTAAATGCAAAACGTCATCTCCTTTGTCCATTCATATATGGGAAGGGAGTAAATTTCAACAATTGATAGATCTAAAATTGCTTAGAAATTCTTCCTCTCAAGGTCTTTTAAAGTTCTTTTATTTTTTTTAAAAAGTAGAATTTTTAACTAGTAGCCTTCTTGGCAGAACAGACATCAGCAAAAGAGCAAGTATTAGAGTGTGCAAATATAGAGTAGTAGAATGGGGAGATTCTCAGACATTCCCAAGCCTTTGAGACCTGTAAGCAAACTCAGACTTCATATGTATTCTTAAAGTCAAAAGCCACATATGGTGTATTTTCTACAAGTGTTGTGCAGCAGGGGCACGGTTGTTTAAAGATGACGTAATCCCCTTAAAGGGAGCAGCAATTCTCTTAATATTTGCCAGCAAAGATACTTTTCGAGTGGTAGGAAGAGATATGTTTTCAAACCATTTCAAAAAGAAAATATGAGTCTGTAATGCTTGCCAGGACCGTGTAAGGCAAGCTAAATTTGCTGTCATACGCACAATTTTTGAATTGACTGTGAAACCAAGATTTAGGGGGTTCTGTAAGTCACGTGAAAGCAAATGAAAACATTAAAGCAACTAAACAAAGACAAATGCCTAAACTTGTCCTTATCAGGTCTTATAGGATTCATTTCTTATCTACCATCTTACTGGTGTGAGTAAAGTTTTGTCACTGGTGTCATGTAGTAAGAAATCACAGAATCGAAATGTAAAAAATTACTTGTGAACCTGTTAGACATAAATACTTAAAAAAAAAAAAGTTAGCATCTAAAGGAGCTTATCCATCTCCTTGATACCGTAAAAATTCTGTGTCAGGATTTTAAAAATACGTCAGTGTTATTTGAATTTATTTTTCTTAATATTTTCTCTTTTCCTTTCTGTGTCTCAAAAAAGAGCTGTTTTGGTTTTTGGTGTTTTTTTCTAATGCTTTGTAACTCCTTAGAAACTTGTAAGACAGCTTAAAATACTAGGATCATTTGTGAGTAATTTTGCATGGACCATTTTCCCTTTTTCTCAGTTGTGAGTTATCTTTGTTGGGCTGTAGTGCGTATCTGTAATTTCCAACTAGTTTTCTATGAATGAAGATACACATGGTTTGTAGTGCTTCACTGTATACAGACACATTAAAGAATGAAACTGTTGCCGTAAAACTATTAAAAATCCGTTCCATTTGATTTTACTTGTGGTGCAGCGCTCCAGACGCTTTGGCCCACCAAACCTACCTGAACTTTCTTGGTAGTCTGGAAGTGTACTTTGGGTTTTGGTTTGTGTTTTTTAGAATTGTCCATTTAAAAATGAAAATGGGCCACGCACCTCATGGTGGCACCAAAGTACATAAATGGAGGACAAGTAAAGCTGCAACAGTCAAATACAGGGGAAATAAATTACTTTAGGAACTGCTATGCAGACCAGTAGTCTGCTTGCTGAATTTCAGTGGCAAACATTATCAGAATTCTTGAAGAAAAACACCTTTCCCCGTAATGGATATTCCTCTTTTTTAAGTAACTGGTTGATGATTTAAGGAGTAACTTCGTAGATTTGAATGCTTCACAGTTGTGCTCGATTACACAGTGCAGCAGTGATTTAATTCATAAAAACATTGTATGTTTTGAAAATTGGCATACTGTTGCACTCAGTAAATTCTGCAAGTTACCGATTTTTACTCTTTTTTTTTTCCAATTTCAGATGGTAAAATCTCATTTGTAGTAGGCAAAGTAAGCAAAACTATTATGACTGTGTTTTAAGCCGGTTAGCTCAGTCAGTAGAGCGTAGCGCTAACAACACTGAAGTCACAGGTTCGATTCCCGTTTGGTCCCCATGTGTTGCCTGATCTAGTCGAGAGGTGGCGTCCCTGGTGGCAGGGAGGCTGGATTAAAAATGATCTCTAAGCTCCCTTCCACCTTAGGCCATTCTATGGTTCCATGATTCTAAGTAGTCCCCGAAGTATTGAAAGGGGGAAGATGTTAACAAGGGTAGAGAAGATTAAGCTGAACTCTCAGTGGTGCCCAGTGAAACCTCAAGAGACAGCAGGCGTAAATTGAAATTACAGGAAATTCAGTTTGGCGTGAATGACACTTCACACTGTGGCATAGATAACAACTGCACAGTTAAATAAGTAGTTTGAAAACATGTATTTATGCAAATGACATTTCTCTGACTCTATTTTAGTTTTTTGCACCCTACTCATTCATTTTTTTTTAACCTGTCGGTCGGTTTCAACCACATTTCTTATGGAGTACATGTCTCAAAGCTGCCACAAGGTTCATAACCAAAATCTCCTGTAAAAAAGGCTCCTAGTTTTGATCTCTGAGCAAAGGGCTGCAGCATGTTCATTAACCATCAGAGTGTGCACTGAATGGGAGATGCTGAAGGATTTCATAATTTCTGCTGCTTGTTCTTCTGATTTAAGCATTTCTGTGTTACTGTACTTTGTTCTCCTGAGCTGTGTTTTACTGGACGTTCAGTTGTTTGTGTAAGATACACGGCCCTTTATTAAGGGTTTTATTAAATTATCATATTAAATGAGTTGTGGAATCAACTAATAGGTGACAGAACAGGAATTTGTTTCTTTCATGTTACTCCATTTGAAATCTCTTGTGGTTAACTCAAAATTCAGAAATTCTTCACATTTTTACATGGTCTGCAGGTTCAGTTACATCTTTTAAAACAGAAACAACTAAATCAACTGAAGTCTTCTAGAAGCTGTAAATGAATACATTCATAGAAGAAACTAAATGTGTTAATGTAACGTCCCATGATTAAATACTATGACAATTAGATTTTCCAAGCAATTTCACTAATACTTGGAACAGTCAGAGCTCCAGATGCAATCTTGGGTTTTTCTGGGAGTCAATCCAAAAGAGGAGGAAAACAGATTCCAAAAGAAAGCAAACTAATTTAAATACCATAAGCATGTGCTGAAGTTTGTTTTGTAAATGCCCTCAGGCACCTGGGATTGTAGATTTGCATTAAATGAGTTAACCCATTTCTAAGTGGCATTGCGTATAAATGATCCAAGATTCTATGTGATTTTCTGAAAGGTTTATCTTAGACTATAGTTCCAACAACATTATGACACTGATTTAAAATAAAAATAAGTTTTGTTTATATTCAACATACTTATCTGCACAATTTTTGTGTTCTTTGACTTGATCCTCTGAACAGGTTAATGGTTTTAAAAAAAATCAGCCACAAGCCCTTATCTTCTGCTTTGATGATAATTCATATGCTGTGTAACAAAACTCATGAGTGGATCCTGCCTAATTTTGAAGTTGCACATAAAAATAAAGCCAATTCGATTCTATAATAACATGACTAATAATGTCGGGTGTTTTCTGTCTCTTGATTTTTCATTATTTCACGAAATAATATTGACCCATTTACATTGTTGTGCAAAAAAGACTTTAAACGTTCCAGAAGTGACAAAGGTTGGGTGTGTAATTTCCTGACTTGGAATTCTAAAATTTAATCTCAGTAGTCTTTATTTCTTCATCTCCAGTGATGGAGCAAAATGTGTAAGTATCACAAAGCTGACAGCTTTGTTAAAACAAGAGTGTTAAAACAGGAATGTTCCGATACCAAATAAAATTAAGATACCTAGGTGTGGATATTTTATTTTTAATCAATTGGGTCTAGAGTGAAACGGTTCATTAAATTGAGTTAGTTCTGATTTTTTTTCTTCCGTATGAGTCATTCTTTGTGATGATCAGTGTTATCAACTTCATTTCTAAATGATTTTTTGACTTCTTAGTTGGTACATTCATATAATTTTTGTTTGGTTTTTTTTTTCACTTTCACTTTTGCTTCCCTTTCTCTGGCTTTTTTACAGTCTGCCACATTTTACTAATTCCAGAGTAGCTGTATTTTCAATTTCTTTTTTGTTTGTTTGCTATGAGTATATACACACACATGCATACAGTTGTGGTCCCAGCAGCTTCTTTCCCAAACATTTAATCTACTTTTTTTTTTATTTGATTTGCTGTCCTTTTTGCAGTGCCTTTGCCTACAGACCCAGTTACTTTTTTATACCATTTGTCAGTATATATGGGTTAATAAAAGCAATGAAAGGTTCATTTGCTCGCTCATATTTATGGGTAGGTTTTTTGGTTTAGCGTAAACTGAGGTGACATTTTACTATAGATTTTTTTCTCCCTTTTTCTAGATTTGCACGGCAATACTTAGGACGTACATTAGTATCAAAGAATCGTGCCTTCTAAAGCGTGCAGGTATGGTATAGTAGTAGCTTTTGATGTATCTTTGATATTTTGCTTATAAATAGTAGGCTCTCAGGCGAGAAATGGTGCCACTTTGAAATCAGAACTTCTCATTCACTGCTGAAGGAATACATCCAATCCATGTGTTCTCATGTCTAGTTTCCCATTGAGGCTAGATATTTAGATATGCCATTACCTCAGGAAGTTGTTACAAATCTTACTTCTATGGAAAATTAACTTAGCCAGAATGGAACCAGACATCAGAGTCAAAATTAGTAACTGCGGCAGTGGGGCGGTTTAATAGAAATGACATTTTGGTAAAGGACTTTTGAACACCCTGACTGAATGTCACAAACCCAAAAACTTAAGAATTTAGCTCTTAAAATGAAGCACCCAAACAGCTTTATTTTTAGTCCTTTCACATTACCAGGTATGCAAACAATTCTGATGAACATATTTTTGGGACTGTAGTTGATTCAGAGCCATCTGAACTTTCAAGTTGAGTCAGGGCTAAATTTTATTGTGGACATGTCCACCTGGTTTTGTGTATTTTTCTTGGGCTGTGTGCTACAGGGCTTACAGTGTTCAGCTCAATGACACAAGGTATTTCAGAATAGTGGGTCTGCGTCTAGTAACGTTGATGCTGTGTTCAAAATAGATCCTTACAGCCATTTTTCTCTATATCCCCATCCCATAATATCCTGGGTAATTAAGGCTTCTTACACTGCATTTAAAATTTATGGAAATAACTTATTAAAACAGTTATCATCAGCTTACCCCAAAGTGAAATTCATTTAATTGCTTTTTTCAGTCCAAATATTTGTGAAATATTACAGACAAGTTACTCCTGGTACGGATTTTTCTTCTCAAGTGCTGAATGATCTTCTCATTTCTTTGCTCAAGAACTGTTTGTTGCAGGAGGTATTTCAGATACTGAATGTAACTGTACAAATCGCTACGCTGGTAGGTGCCCTTTAATATTTTTTAAATCTTTGATCTCTAGTTTCTTTGTTGTTTTTTATTAACACTATGCTATCTGTAGTAATAAGTTTGGTTTTACTCTGGTACTGAGGTATTGGGGAGAAACAGAAGAGCAGTTCAAAACTTCGTATTATAAAAACTCTAAGCTTTCTAACTGAACAGATTTGCAAAACTGATTGTGTTTTTTGTTTAAATTAGCCATCAGTAGATGTTCTTCTGAAAGTTTTTGAGCACGTGGCTTCTTTGAATATAAGAGACGCTGTCCCCACCTTAATCAGTACCTTTCGTAAGGTATGAATTTAATTGTGCTACTACCACTTGTTGGAATTTCTGAAATACCTTGCCTGTTTTAAAACTCAAACATAGCACTCAATATTATTTCAGTACCAATTTTTAAAGGTTTTTTTGTACTAGCTGAATTTCTGGTACAGATTCCCATCTATCTCTTATTTTTTTTTTGCTGAGCTTCACTGTGACATGTTTATTCCACTGTTGTTTGGTACTTGCCTCTGGAAATACATAAGTGATCACAATTTTTTCTATGCTTGCTTTTTTTCCCCGTTTGATATCACAGCTCACTGATGCTGGTATGTGCCTCAAGTTTGAACATTTCGACTGTATTATTAAGTTCCTTCATCAACTGCAGGTTTCCAGTCAGGAAATAAATACTGTTTTGAGCATAAAATCCAGGTATGTCTTGCCCATGACAGGGAGGTTGGATTAAATGATCTCTAAGGTCCCTTCCAGCCTAGGCCATTCTAGGATTCTATGATTCTAAGTCTTTAAGGAGCTATTTTAAAATTCCATCTACCTAGTTCTTTCTTCAGGTTCTATCTATATAAATTTATGTAAAACTTCAAAAGGCATTTGACGTTTTGGATGAAAATACTACCATATCATGCTTAATTGTATTTTTTAATGCTGTCAGTCCACTGTGCTTCAAAGATCAGAGACTGTTAAATCAAAACTTAGATTCTGCTTATGTAACTGTATTAGATTGTTAGTTTATATAGCTGTAGTCAAATTAGAAACATTGTGATTTAATATATCATTGAAGCCTGCCTAAGCAAACAGTACTTCTGCACTAAGCAACCCTTATGGTTTATAAGAGGATTAGTCATAATCTGTAGTTTTCTAGCTTCATTTACTGTGCAACTGCATAAACACTTGTGCCAACACAGCCAGGGACGAGGGTCGTTTTTTACATACTGCTGGATAATGCTGGGCAAAATGTGAAATCACAGCCCAAATCCATTCCAAAACTGTTGCTGTCTCCCCATCACTTGCACAAGATTATCTTATATTTTTTTTGCATCGAAAATGCACGCACACAAGTTGAGAAACTAAATTTGCAATTCATAAAGCAACCTTTGATTCTTAGAGCTAAATACGCAGCATCTACTGTGTGAAGACAAGTCATCACTGTTTCAAGGGAAAGCACTGTAGAAATCACTTGCTGCTTTTCGTGCTTTTCCCACAGAGTACCTTTCAGCCACAGATCTCAGTGTTTTACAGTGCAGCTTCCCACCCATGTTGGAGGTAATTTTTGTCCCTTTCCAGATCAGGAATCTGATTCACAAGGAGTGACCTCTTCCAGGTTGCCTCAGTATGTGTGTGTTTTCAGCACAAACTGAGAAACAGTCTGTACTTCTGAAGTCTGAGCAACTGTGCCACTTCAGCTCTGTGTGTGAGCTCATTCCCATGTAGATTCTGTATCTCTGCATGATCAGCTGGATAGGTGTGTCCATCGTTACACTGTTGGGATCCAAATCCAGTCCTGCGCTCCTACATAGTTGAAGCTGAACAGCACTTTCTTTCATGCAATTAGCACTTTTTTTTTTAACCTTTATCTGAGAAATACATACATGCAGTTCTGCATTTACTTAATGGATTGTAAACCTTATTCACACCTTTTCAGTTACATTTCTGCTGAGACAAGGGAATATTTTCTGTGAAAATAGCTCTGCTCATTTAGTTGCTTAATACATGTACTGGCTTCTGTTGGCATGATTGTAAATGCCTGTTACCAGTGTTCAGTTTGTACAGTGTGTAATAATGTTTAATTTTTTTCATCACCTTCTGTTAGTGCATAGTTTAGTTCAACAGGATGTGTAAAATTGAGTTTTGTTTTTTTTAATGGAAGATTTCAGGAAGGATATTTTGAAAAGAACTGGCTTTTTGATTTCATCTTGGCAGTTGCTGAAATCCAGGTACAGTATTTGCATGTCTCAAGCCTTTTGGAATATTTAAACCATAACTTCTTTTTAAACCTACAGAAATAACAATTTCTACATCATTAAAATTTGTGGGTTTATTATTAAGTATATTGAGATTATAATAAAATACTTTTATGCAAAGCCATGTTTGGGGAAGATTAACATGCAGGAAAAAGGTGTCTTTGGCTTTTCTGTGTCAGTTTTTTAATTCACATACTTGTAGTTTTTATCTTGCTTTTGCATCTAATTCAAAGATTTTTACAACTTTAAGCAATTATTTCCTATGCCTTACACTTACTGTACTTGTAATTGGTAGTGATACATCATTCCTTACCAGAAATTATTTGATATATTATTTAGCAGATAAAACTCATACCTATTACAAAGACACATTTGTAAAAGGCTACAGTTTGCAACACTAAGGTATTCTAAAGAATGAGAAAATATTAAAATTTCTTTAATTGGATAACTTGCATCTTTCATTTTCAAGGGCAGATCACCTATGTGCAATTTTAAAATAGTTTACATATCACACTTGCTGCACGGATTCTGAGACCAAAATTTAAGAAGGAAGGAGCCAGGCCTCTTTTTTTTACTCTTAACACTAAGCCATCAAGTGATCTGGCAAGCAAAGAACTAAATCATATAGAAAGTAACTATCATTTTGGCATACATAGTGCAAAAAAAAAGATAGAAAAATACTGGATGAATGCCAGTTCTTAAATAGGATGAGTTATGAACTTCCCTGACTGGAATCATGACATAAATGGGAAAAGGATTTTAATTTCTTGAGGGACAAAGGTGATTAGCAGTCTGTGCAAGTTAGGCAAAATGTAACTGTGCCACGCCGAACATGGAGGTTCTTGGCAGAAGCGTTCCATCTGCGTCTTTTTTCTGCTTTAAGTCTATTCACATGTACCTTTCAAATTTCAGTGTATTTTCTGTTCTGGAAGCGGGTGCACTTTATCTTGTGCCTTCTTCACAGCATTGCAAAGAAAAAAGTGACTGGACCAAGCTGGGAGCTTTGTATGTTACCGCGAGAAGTGGATGTGAAGATTCTGATGACCTTCAGAAATTGTCTTTATGTATTGCTAAAATACTAACCAGAGATTCTGAGACAGATAGTCCAGGAGTTCCTTTTTGTGATTTTGCTGATGCAGGTAAAATTAAGATGCAAGAAATGCATTTTGTTCTTCCCTATTCTTCGTAGATTTTTTAGAAGAGGTAAAAAGCCAAATTCAGGTACTGTTTTCTGAATAGTAGTTAATTTTATATGTTAAAATAGTCAGAATATCTTGAGGTGCAAACACAGCTAAAATGCTCAGTAGAAGCCATTTTCTAGTAGAAATGCTTACACAAAGTCAGAGTTGTGAGAGAACATTTGAGCTTTATGGAAGCAAGAAAAGAAAACAAAATTGGTGGTCTTTCAATAAGAATGTATTCTCAAGATGACGATAAATGTATTTAAGCATTGTCATGTGAAATGTTACACTCTTAATAGCATAAATAAACTTTAGAATTCTAACTACAGCTGTATATATATTTGTATTTTTCAAAACACACTGAACAGGGTTACATCATGTATATAATTTGTACCTTTCTTATTCTTTAGCAATGTGGGTTTTCAGAATTATTTCATTCTCTAAAAGAACTAAAAATTTCTGCAAGGGCTGGTTCTACGAAACACCTTCTAGTTTTTTAATTTTACCTCTTTCCTCCCTATGCCTCTTGATTTACATATCTGTAGCATTCTTGTTCCTGAGTTCACAAAAAAATGAGGTTCAGTGAGATGTCAATGGGATATTAAAGCATTTTATAATGGAGGACTCAGATCTTTTTTGACCTGTATTAACTACTAAAACATGATGAATATTTATTCCAGGTACATGACAGGACCTTTCTGACCACAGAATTTCGTGTTACAGAACAGCTATCACAGCTTCCGGTTGTGACTCAAGACAGAAGATCTTGGTGGGGCTTGGAACTTAGTCTGTCTTCCCTAGAACAGTGGTCTCCAAGCTGATAGGCACCTCTATCAGTAAAAAATTTTTCGTCACACCTCCAGTTGAAATATTTGTAAATATTACACAGATGCTACTGCACTAATACCTAAAGTACATTGTGAAACATACATAAAAATAGAACTTAAATAAACACTGTTATTGAAAATATTTTGGTTTATTCATTTGGGTTTTTTAATGGCACAGAAGGAATTTTCTTCCCACAGCTAAATGGATTGTGGTACTCACACCCCACTTTGGAGACCACTGCCCTAGAATACCAACAGCACTTCTACCTATAATATGGTTGGAAAAACTTACAATTACTCGGTTCTGCACTTGCCAGCATTTCTTCATGGTGCCATAAAATGCAAAGTTTACTGTACAAATAAGGATATGTTAAGTTATGTCATTGTATGCGCAAGCATCTTATGGTTGAATTGGACTACTGTGAAATTGTGTGTGAATGACTGTATTTATTTATCCTACATCTAGTGTCAGGACTTGGGAACTTAATCCTTTTAATGGTAACTATTTCAAAAAGTATATCTCATTTTCACAACCATTGTCTTTTTCAAGAGTGTAGTTTCTTTAAAACTGCATTTACATGTAAATTAAAAATGTGGTTTTTTTCTTTCCAGTAATAGAAAATTCACAACATAATGGAGCAGACAGAATTTTCATTGGAAGGATTGGGATAAGTGCAATGTATTCTTACCACAAATTACTGCAGTGGATAAAGGTATACTGTACTATCTAAATCCAACTGGAAGAAAAAGAAAGAGTAATTTCTTTTCTAGATGTTAAACTGTGTTTCTGTGGTTGAATGGCTGGATGCGGCCCCTGCCTCTCCACCATCTTAGTGCTTCTTAATTGTCCATCTGGATCAAAGCATTTTATTGTGCCTTTCTGAGCAATAATCTTCTGGGGATCCTGTCATAACTTTGTCTTGCAACCTAGAAACTTGATTGTTCGGGTTCAGCTTTTGGCTTTTCTGAGTCAGGGATGAATCTGGAGTAGGAGACAGGTCTTCCTGATATTCTGGGCTGAGATGCTGATGAGATTGTCTCCCAGAAATACCACTTTCTTCCACCTGGTAATACTGCTGTCTTCTGAAACAAACTCAAGCAGTGTGTGCAGCAGTTTGAGTGGGCCTTTTCCTGCACTGATGCTGCTGCACCTGGCCTCAGGTGGAATGGATAAGGCCAAGAAGACAGAAGAGAAGCAGAGCAAGGCTGCTGTTGCACTTGGTGAACTGCCTATTCCCCAGAATGTCACTAGAAACACTTTTATTCCATTGAATCTAGGGTTCTGAGTTCTGTAAATCTTGCAAAGACACAGACCTCACAAAGAAATGCCCTTTACAATCTTTTCCTTGCTGTCAGATATTACAAAGGGGCGGCATTAAGAGACCAGACCTTTCACTGGATGTTTTATGCTCTTCACGCCTCCTGCAGTACGGATTGTAAGTTCTCTGCAGCAAGATCACTTTCAATGTTATATTTGTCATTTTCTTCTTGGAATGAAGCAATGTATGCCAAGTTGGTTTTCCTATACACTGCAGCATGACCAATGACCATGTAAGAAATAATGTGAGGCATGAATGATTTTGGTGTGTTGGTCAGTGATTGCAGTCTGACCTTACCCTTGTGTCAATGAGCCCTGATCCTTAAAACTAATAATTATGCTGTGCTGGGATGTTCCTCATCCCATGCAAGATGATTTCCAGCAGGTATTTTTACGAACAAAAGCAAATACTCTCCTTTTCCCCTTTTGCCTCTTTGAGTGTTTTGGTGAATTATCATTGAAGAACCCTTTTTAGCTTACATCAGAGTATTAACATGTCTTTTGTGCTATTGTCTCTAGGGGATAACCTTCAAGAACTGTGTTATATAAAACCTGTGCAGTGCTCTGTTTGTTTCCAGGGTCAAACCAAGACCCACAAGATATTTGACTGAGGTGCTTAGTCTAAAGGCAATACACTCATTTTGACGAAGAATTAATTTTGCAGCATCAGCTTCTTGAGTTCAGTGGTCTTTAGCAGGTCCCTGTCAAGCTGCAGCACCGTGTGGTACTGTATAGGAGTAAAGGGAAGGAGAGAGGGTCTTTGCATTAGCACTTTGGTAGTGCTGCAGTAAACTTTTTAAAGCATTTTTGTCCCTCAAAACTTAGCAGTCAGAACAGTTAAGATATTCCTAGCCATAGAAGAGGTGGTTTTTGGCATTGAGGAGTGGTCACTGCTCACATGCTCACCAAAGAGTTGAAGTTTGGCTGCTGTCTTCAGCAGAGAGGGCACATATTCGGTATTTGAAGAGAAATGCCTTCATACAGTTCAGCTGTTTTCCAGATCCATCTTAAGGGAGATCCTGATATTTGGGTTGCAGGATCTCTAATATTCCAAGGAAGTTCCCCTTCATGTTAGAATTTCAGAGGTGCAGGGTGTCAAGAACACGTGTAGTGTTTCTCTTGTGTAGCAGGAGTTAGTAAACGTAGGCAGTTCTTACAATGCTATGGTGTTTTTTTTCATGTTTAGAGCAAAAGATCGTTGCTTCTTTCAGAATGTGTTAGGTATCAAACCCACCTCTTAACAGACAGCTCACCAAGATCCTCAAACAGTTTTGTAGAAAACCTGCACTAACCATATGGGAGTGCGAATGAGGCTGTCCTCCGAGTGATTTTTATCAGAACTGGCAGATGCCGAATTGATCTCTGCTTCAGGGATTAACTAGAACTGTCATTCTTGAATCTCTCCAACCAGTTTCACTCCGTTATATGTCTTTGATAAGTCTTTAATCCTGTGGTTATGGGCTAGTGTCTGCTTTATCCATGTCTTGTTTCTTCCACAAAATGGTCCAGAAAGTAAGATAGTGATGGATTTGTTCTTTCTGCTGTGCCCAAAGTAATTCTCTCTTTAGGACATGCCTTGTGCCATTTTACATGTTGGACTGCCTAAAGCTCTGGATGTGCTTTTCAGATCGCTTTCCCTTCATGAACATCAAACCTCTTTAAAACATAGTTTTGATCTATGGGAGCTCTCAAGGGTAAAATATGCATGCTCCTTCATCCTGAAGAGAATATCCTTTGTAAGACACAAGGGAAGGTTCGTAAAACGAGTGTGCTTGAAAACAACACGCAGTTTTGAAACATGTGAATAGCTCTCCCATGGAGACAAGTCTTCAAGCAACACTAGACTGCTCTCTGGATATTCAATTGTAGAGAATCCTGCAATGTTATCTCTCCTTTGGCAACTATTTCATTCACTTCCTATTTCAACTATTTCCTGTCCTGAAGGACTTTGATATGGTTTTTTTTTTAACCCAACCTTTTATTACTTAAAAGGATTGGCCTGAGGTTCTTGTCTGTTTAAGGAAGTCATTCCACAACTGCATTTTTTTGAGTACCCTTCCTTTATAGGTCATTTGTGCTTAATAGCTGTGTGCTTTTGATCTTTCGATCAAGACCTATTTCTTAGTGGCCCTTCTTTTTGCTAGGAGGATGGAATAGAACCATATCCTCAATTTTCTATTTTTTCTCTGGTTTGCACTTAGATTTCAAGTTTCTGTTTTGCTGTCAAAGTTTCACCTGAGTCTAGTATGTATTTTTTTTCCCTTCAACCACACCCATTTACAGTTCTTTACACCTTAAACGTTAACCACACCGATGTAGTTAGTATTCTTTTATGGGCTATGCTGAAATAGACCTCTGCAGATACACATAAGCCTTCAAGTGTCTCCAGTTTTGAGCATACGCCAGTCCACTCCATGGGCAGATACATAAAGCACCTTCAAAAAAACGAGCTTTGACTGAAAAGGCCAACCAAAAAGTTGTTGAGAGAAAGCTCCTGTAGGAAACCAGTCTAAACATCAACCTAGAACCTGATGGTAAAGTTGTCAGTTGTTACAACTTTTCGCAGCTTATTGTCCTGCTGGATACAACTATCAGTGTTTTCTTTGGCTTATGCTGGAGTAATTATTTCAGTTTAACATTTATGCCTCTGCAAAATGAAAACTTCTGTTTGTCCTTTTTAGAATTTTACAGGTTGTGTAGTGCTGAATGGAATCAAAAGAGTAAAAATATTAATATATTTAAGAAATACAAATTAATTGCAAAGTTTATTCAAAACACTGTATAGGATATATATATATATATATATAGTAGAAATAATATTATGGGGAATAGCATGCTGGGAACTGTTCAACAGTGGACTGATGGGGGGTTTTGCCTACTTGCTATTCATTAGAAATTTTACTATATGTTGGGGGTTTTTTTCCCCTGACTCAGTTTGGGTAACTAAACTGATGCCTGTAAATCTTTATCACCAAATTGAATCTGCTGTATTTTGTGTAAATATACTCTATGTTCACTGATATCGTTGCCTTCTCTTACCTTCCCCCTCTCCCTTCTCCCTCTTGTGCTAGGGAAGGAAGGTTTTGGATAAATTGCATGAGCTACAGATACATTTTACAGTCTTGAAAGGACTTATAGGTGAAGAGAGGTTAGCATCAAGATGTCAAATTGTTAATAAAGCTGCAGAAATCTTTCTTAAAACTGGAAGTTTGGATGGAGCAACATGGGTATTGAGAGGTAAGCTTGTCTTACAAAAAAATGAGTTTTGACAAATTTGAAGAGTCCCCTTCTATGACAGTCCTCAGGTAAAAGTGACAAGCTGATCTGTGTTATTAAATAGAGTTAATAATACTGGCACAATAGTAATAAAATGTGAGCTGTCTTACTGGTTAGTATTCTTCCTGGTATGTGTAAGAAATATTGCAATTAACAACTTTTTTTTCCAGAAAGTTTTCACTGATGTCTGCCATCAATACCATTCTACTCAAAAGCCTACCATAATAAGGGAGTGGTGCTGCTTGGGAAGTGATACTTCCCCATGTAGATTTCCTTTTAGCCAGGTGACAGTCAGTGTCAAAATATTTTCAGGCTTGGGTCAATGCAGTGGGGTTTTTTACCCCTCTGGGTACCTACATATAGTAAAGTAGTTTGAGAATAGTACCAGATTCCTGCAATTAAGTAACACACAATTACTGGCCTTTTGGAATTCTGATCTGCTGAAAAGAGAACAAACTCAGAAGTACAAGCAAGAATGGAAAGTATTATATGAAGTAATATTGATCGAGGTTCTAATATTTTTGATTTTGTATATGTACATAGATACATACATATTTATATAAACAGACATTTGTATATGCCACTGACAGTCTATTTTACTATCGTGATATTTAATAAAGGGGTTATTTACAATATAAAGATTCAGAGAACCCATCTGACATGTATTGGTGATAGGGAATGAATTATTAATAACCGTAACTGCATTTTCTGTGCAATTCTGCAATTTGTTTTCTGCTAAACTACAGCATATTCTTGGTGGCCAAAGATCTCGGCATCCAGCAGTTTCATTTCATAGGAGTAACACTGGACTGTTTTTTGCCACAGAGTCAAAGTGGACCACAAATGCACCGTTGTGGCCCTGTGATAAAACGGACATCCTGTGCCGACAAAATCTCTTGCGCACACTAGTGCACAAATACCTGAGGAACAGTTTATACAGGCAGGCATTTGAAGTTCTGCAGAACTTGCCAGGTTTCCAACATTGTTCTGGTAAGTAAAGAAAAAAGTTCTGTCTGAAAGAGCTAAGACTTGAACATATGATTCCATACCATTCCTTTTGTTTGTTTTCCGGCTATAATTTGGTGAAGAACTCAGATGGTTTTAAGCAAGCTCATTTTTTTTACCAAGGATTGTAGTGTGAGCTAAAGTAAGTATTGTACAGCCCTTGACACACATGCGCACGCACACACACACACATACACGTGCAGAGTTTATACACCTGTCATCTTTTTCCACGTGGCTCAATTACACAGGGAAAGACCTACTAAATTTTTAAGGATCTTGCACAGTCTATACCATAAGATGAAATAGGGATGTCATTGGGGCAGTTGATTTTATCTTAAGTTCAGATGAATGCACTGGGTTTTTTTCTATAACTGAGCTAGAGGCTTCTTTTACATAACGATGTTAAGAACTGAGTGCTCTTTTGGGCCCAATTTATCTGACAAATTTTGGATGTGTACTTCAAGAAGAGATGCGTAGTTACTTTGGCTCCACTGAGGGAAACCTCAGCTGATTCCTGTGTGTAGGTCTCAGTCCTATTGCCAGTGTGTGCTTTTAGGCATGTTAGGAGAGCTTATCTGAAAGATCATCTACTTGGGGAGTCCTAAAAGGACCTAGTTGTTTGAAGTGTGAGGTGGATACAAGGCTGTTGAGTCCTGCGAAGAAGGGGACAATTGAGACAAGGGATATAGTTCACAGTAAGAGTAGAAGCAGGACTTCAAGCACCAAGGTGATTTTTATTGGTGCAGATTTTGAGTCTTGAGAGATCAGGTGGTGATTGTGTTTATAGACTTGGTCAAGTGAATATATTTTTATCTGATCCTGTTGGTTTTGGCAGCAAGGTACTACTTTGAACTTAACGCTTCTTTTTTAACAATGTCAGTGAAGTAACAGTATGAAAAGATTTCTGATGAATAAAGTATTATGATAAGTATCTCAACCTTGTTCCACTTTGCTGACAGAAGCAAGAATCCTGATTTAGGCACCGATTGAGAAGTGATTGTTCAGTTAGGTTTGCATGTGGCTTAGTTCAGTAGTTCATGCTCTTTATTTCATTTCAGATGCTGTAGATGTTTCTCAGTACAGATGCCTTTTTAACAAGCTGATAAGTGCCTGTTTTGAGAGCAACAACCTTGGAGTCTCATCTTCTGCAGTAGACTTCATGCTTTCAAAAAACATAGCTATTGATTTTTTTTTACTTAGAGGCTTAATCACAGCTTTGGGAAGAAGTTCTTTGTGGTCTAAGGCTAGGACCTATTACAAAAGTAAGTTGCTTCTTAAACAATATCCTTCCGTTATGTTCTTTGGATAACACGGACTCATAACATCTCAGTATGTTGGGGAGAAATGGGCAAGAGTATAGTTTGTTAGAAGAAAACAGTACTTTCTGTCTTGCTGTCAGGAATTTATTTGTATCCAAAATGTTTATTGGGATGTAGTGACAGTTGAAAATACAAATCAGTATATGCATAGTGCCTGGTATTAAATGAAGTATTACTAATGTATTAATAATAATGTAGTTGTGATTAAAAAAAAAATTACATTCAATTTTAGAATTTAAAAAATGTGAATGCTGAAATGGTTAAAAAGTACCTCATTGTCACTTCTTCATCTAGATTTCTTTATGCTTCTGTTTAGAGCTGTGGTGGTAAAATTATTAATAATTAAGATTTGAGAGGTGCGGCTAAGAAATTTAATGCAAACAAAAGAAAATACCTTTCAAGCAAAATATAACAGTCTCTGATCATTGTATTGACTTTTGAGCCAATACAATACCAGGTCTCTGACAGGGTCCACCAAGAGCCATCTCAGTTAGCAAACACTTAAGGATTCCATCCCTCCTGAGATGAATACTTGGGTTTGTTAACATTGAAATTATTGGTTTTCCTCCCCTTTTTTTTCCCTAAAATGCTGTCTAGGTTGGGTCTCTGGGATCACTTGGCAGAGGACAGGAGAGCAAAGTGGGAGATGCCGTTCAAATGTCCTCTCACTGTTATCATAGATCATAGATAATAAATCTGTCTGACCTGTCCTAAATTGTATTTGTGTTATTAAGCACATGGAGTCCTCAAGCTTCTGATAGGGCTTTTTAATCATCGCTGATAATATTCATTGATAAAAGTAACATTTTACAACAGGGAATATTAGGAGTGAATGCTACTTGCTGTGTTCTCAAATCAGGCTATGTCACAGGTGAAATAGTAAAATCCATTAAGAGTTTGATGGGGATTTTTTTTCCACATTCTTAGCCATGTACTAAGGAAAAAAATATTGGCAATCCTAATTCTGTACGTTCCTGCATTTACTCTCAGGTGCTTTATCGTTGGGTTGCTACCCACCACTGAAGGGAAATTTCTATCACAAACTTCTGATGATTCCGTCTTACCTGTCTGAGGTTGAGATGCTGTTGACCATTGAAAGATTTCTTGTTTCAAATGCCAAGGATATTCAAAGTCCAATGCCTACTAGTCAGACTCTTCAAATAATACTCAAAAGGTTTGTTGTCATATATATATATACCATTTTGATTGTATTTATCTGTGTGATCATGTAATTAATGACAATTTTTATTTTCCATTGGCTGGGAAAGAGAATGCTTCGTTTTAAACTTGTTTTTAATCCTTGTTTCTAAATGGATTATAAATATTTGGGGGGGTTAATTTGATTATTTTTTAAATGTACGTAGCAGAAAAGTAATTGTTCCGGAGTGATAGTGGCCTGTGTTCCCTAACTGAATGTGTCTGCTGCTCCAAGAGTGTGCTGTATCTTTAAAAACATGATAACTTGATACATTGGTGTATAGATTCTTGTGTTGTGGTTAAGCAGTGGAGTAGAAGAGCGCAGTCAAAATGTTGCTCCTTTCAAAAAGCAACTCTAACATTTCTTGGCTGCTTTTTCAAAAGCGCATGAGGCCATTTTACTTGATTCACTTTACAGGGACTATCTCAATATTGGATTTGTTTGGGGTTTTTTTCACCCTTTCTGTGAAACTTAGTACCTTCAGATAGAAATGTGTTTTGTTGCTTTTTCCTTTTGTCCATAAACTGCCAACCACTGTCAATAGATTATACGTATAATTTATTTTTCAAGACCCCATTTTCTCTGAGGTTGATTGGCTTGGCATCAAAATGTGGAACTGCAGAAATAGACCACATTTGTTGAGAGGGATGAACAGGAGCATCTCAAACTTGAGTACTCGATCTCCTTCCCATCTACCTCTTGCAGGGAATGCATCTCTTTAATTTTGTTCTTTTGATAAGTAAGAATTTTTTTATCTTTTGTTTTCCCGTGTATGCTGTTGTTTGTCTGCTTGTTTGCTTAAAGAGTAAGTTGTGCTCTTGCAAAAATGTAGGCATGTCACTTAGGCATGTCCTTATTCCAAAAGCCAAAAACTAGTTAATCCATTTGGATTCAAGCGTGTACATGAATTATTGCTATATTCAGTTCATAAAATGGTTTACATGCCTCTACTGAATTTTACAGCCCGGAGTCTAACATTTCATCAAACGTGCTATGAGTATTACAGACCTATTTTGCACTAGCATTAAATCCTATTACTTTTCATTACCCTAAAATATGTTCAAAATGTACTTTTTCGAACTTTTCCATTCTTCAGAATAATCAGCTAGAATTTGTCTAGAAATTAATGTTGTCTATTACGAGGTGAACACAAGGCATTATTTTAATGGTTTTGTAATTGTGTTGCTAGTATAAAGAGTCAGGCAAGTGACACAGGAGAACTGTATGGTACCTAATTTCGTATTTGTGAAAATTCACTTACAGATGTGAAGATCAGACAGTTCAGAATAACAGTAACTATCAAGCAGCAGTGGAGAGACTGATCCTGGCTGCTCGTGTATCTGATCCAAAGCTTTTTCTTAAGCATATGACAATGAATGTTAATATGGAGGAAGTTTACAGCTTGGAGCTTACATCTGCTCTAAAATGGCTTCAGGAGAATATGAAATGGGCTGGGAAGGTCTGGCTGTTTCCATAGTCATTAACTAGAAAAGACTTTTGGTTTTTAATGGTTAAAGCAGTTTGGAACAATACAAATTAATGAAGGCAATTTCCACTGTGCTCACTCTGTGCCTTACTGATTTGCAGCAAGGCTTCAAATTAAGTTGTGGTTTTAAATACTTATATTGATGATAATACAGATAGTAGTGCAGAAGTAGTTTTTTTCCCATAGACTTTTGTGAATGCTTTTAATGGCATCATTAAATAACAAGGAAGCTGCAGCCTCAGAACATAGATTCTCCTTTTTTACTGAGAATTTAGCACTATCTGATAACTATTCTCCCAGCATGTCATAGTAGGTAAGTGCATTGACTGAGTGTTTCTTGAGTGAAAAGTTTTCCACAGGGCTTCATAATCTGTGGCAGTAATACATGTTTCCTTTTGTCTTCCTCACAGTATCTTGTGAGGATATTGACCCAGCTGTGTGCCCCTTAGATCGTAATTTTCTTACTCTAAAAATGCAGTAAAAAGCACGGAGAATAAAATAACTTCAAAAGCACTTGAGACGTGCCTGACTTAGAATACTTTCCTTCACAGAATTGAGTCTACACAAGTTGCTCATGGCTGAAGGTTTGGTTATGTCTTGATAATAACTTTGTATCTGGCCTCATGGTCACATCCAGTAGTGTTCTGCTTTATTTCCCAGTGGCTGAAAGACTGGATAAGAAGCAGTTAGGTTTCAGATGAGGGATCTAAACTGATGTTCTTCCACCCACTGCAGCATTAGTTGCAAGAGCAATTTTGGAAGGTTTCGACAAACTAAAACTGGCACTGAGAAACTAAGTCATTTTTGCTAATTACTTATTGTAAAATCCTTTGTAGCTTAATCTTCCTTGGAATTAGACAGAACCTATCTGAACTTCAGCTAAATCCCACATTTCTGTAAGCAGTACTAGTACTAAGTACTAGTACTAAGACTAATACTGTGTCTGAAAGTGGCAGAAGGACAAAAGACATTTATTAATCTGCGTGGCTTCAAAGCTTGGAGTGTTCTAGAGAATACTATTATTTTTTTCCTTTATAAGCAACTTGGAATTTTCACTCAGGAAAAAAAAAATCCAAATGGTGCTTTTTTTGTCAGACAGAGGTTAATCATTGACCTTCTAGCTTAACTTGAACTGCGTAAATTTGTGCAGTGTTTTGGCTCCATCTCCCAAGATCATCTTCACCTGATAGGACGCAATCTCAGTCATGTTTTATATTAACAAGCAAAGCAAGCTCCCTGCATCATTGCTCAGAAGTTTTGTTACAACTGGTACATGTGGGTCTTCTGGCAATAAAGGTTTTCTTTTTCCCACTGTGATAAACTAGTACACAATTAAACAACTTTACTGTTAACTCCCGTGTTTCACATTTTTGGACTGTCTGCGTCCACTTGAAATACCATGTATCAAAACACCAGAAAAGTTTCCTGAGAAGAGTTCTCCATAAAATTTGGTGACAGAAATTCATTGCGCTAAGTGGGACAAAGATCCAGTTTGGAGTGAACCAGAAACAAGCCCAGAAGGATGAAAAAAACATTCCAAAGAATAAAGCGAAGTACAACAGGCACAATGGAGTTTTGCAGAGCCAGCCGCTCAGTAGACAATATCCGTGCTTTTGCTTTTCCCCAGGTGTAAGTGTTTCTTAGTAGCTGAGAGAACTTCTGTGTTTGAGATTAAGCAACTTGTTAATGTTTCATATAGGAAATAAAACGTACATTTGCATAAGGAGACAGAAAAGTGCACAAAAAAACCCAAACCTCCCTGTGCTGCGCTCTGTAGCCAGGTCTAGACAACACCATGTTCCTTCACTACATTCTTAGATACATGAGAAATTCTCTTTGCGAAATATTTCTTCCATTTTCACTAACTAGTAGGTATGCTCTTGGAAGGATGATTTTTGTTAGGTATGGGCAATTTCTTGTAACTAAAACAATAACGTTGTTTGGAAAACTTAGCACAATTTTATTTCAAAGCATTGATAGTTTTGAGTTTCTTAACCCACATTGGTGACAGAGGTGAGAAGGTGGGAATGGAAGCTTCCTAGTTTTACAATGTTTTATAAAGTGTACCTTGGGGGATCACTTTGGAGAACTTGTTAAGATGTTAATAAACTTTTTTTCCTTTACATGAAGTAGCCAAAATATCTGTGAGTCAGTATCGTCGTTATTTAATTCTATTCAGATCCCTGTAATTAATAGGAGGCAGGAGGAGAGGCGAAGCAGATGTGTATAGTTTAATAGAAGAACCTAGAGTATGATATGCTGCGTGAGGATGTTAAGAATGTGTCAAATCAGACTATGCAATTTTTCACCATGACATAGCACATATTGTAGCAAATGCTCATTAATAAATTGGGCTGAAACTCCCAGCTGTGGCGATGGCCAGCTTCCAGTTTTAACTTCGGACTTGAGCAGAGGCTATGGCTTAGGCGTATGGGCTGGGCTCACCTCGCTGAAGAGGTCTTCTAGCTGTTAGTGAGAATTTTACATGAGGAGGAATAGTAAAATTAAATGTCCCTGGTGTAGTAATTGAACTTTTAACTACCAAAATCTTAATGTCATGCTCCTCAGCTTAGTAAAATACAGCCACGTTAAGAGCAATTATTTAGCTCGCATTTCTGGCCTTTCACATTCTGTAGGTGCATCTTGCTATCTTTGCAGTGGCGTGGACCGGGTTTTTTTGGCAAACCCCAGGTCTGCATGACTCTTTTCTGAAATGACTAGTACAAGTAGGATCAAAAATTAATGCTGACGTTATTGACCTAGAGCTTCTGTGCTGTTGTGCATGATGGGACAGGAGAAACTTGAGGCCACTGTTTGACCATCTGCAGACTGAGGGCCAGAAGAGAAACAAAGGAGTGAGGAGAAAACAGCTCAGCTGCTGCTTGTAGCAAGTTCACTGCAATGTTTAAAATTCTCCTTCTGCTAAGATATAAGAGGTAACCAAAATACAATGTTTTTTAGGTGTTCATTTTATCTGACATAAAACAAGCTTTCCATCAGAAATGTCTGGGCTGCTCTTGCTGAGCTAGTGGGATGTATCCTGTGAACTGATAAGACAATAACAAGATCAGATAAAGCCAAGGTACCCCTGGGATACAGTGGTGATACTCATAAGCAATAAGCATGGTAAGACTTTTAGCTAAAAAGCAGGAATTCATTCCTGTGCTTGTAGGGCAGGGGAGGAGCCATACTCTGGCTCGGAAAATAGAAACGCTGCACACTGGAGCTGGTATCTGCCAGTGTCACGTGCTGATTACCCCTCCCAATTTATTTTGTTCTTCACCACGTTAAAAGAAATCCCAAGAGAAATGAGCAGTACAGTTTTCTGTTGAATCAATTAAAATTTATTTTCCCATCTGCCTAATTATGCAAGCAATTTGCTTACATAACTGATGGCTTCTGTCAGGAAGCAAAAAACATGCTGCAAATGATGGAAATTATGCAAATCCCCCAAGGGTTGGCAGAGTGTTGATTTAAAGCTTCGCTGAACTAGATAGTTCCTAAACCCCATCAGTCTCTTTTTAACTTTTTCTGTCTGGAAATGCAATGGATTGTATGCAAGTAACTCCAATCCCTAACAGTTATTCCCCCTTTGTTGGGAAGCTCATCAGCAAGACATCTTTGCTCTTGAGTTTCAGTGTCTCTGCATCGGCTGCTTGTTGACACCAACTACCTTGGAAGAAAAACAGACATGTAAGTGTGCGTGTGTATCACGCATTAGTAGCTGCAGGAGAAAAGCTTTTGCTTTTCCTCTTAGTACTGCGGAGTGCACTGATCGGGTGTTTTCTTCCGGCACAACACACACCAAGGCCGTGCAGCAACCTGGATAAACCCCTTCCATCCTCTGCGCAAAAGAGCAGTGCGCTCTTGTCAGCGATTTCCCTTCTATGTCCCTGAGCAACACCGGCGGACACCCCGCCAGAAGCGCT